CCTCCCCCCCCCCCAAAAGGTGCACACCCCGATCCCGTTCCTGCTGAAGCACGACTTGAGGGAGTACCAGCACATCGGCCTCGACTGGCTCGTCACGCTCTACAAGAAGAGGCTCAACGGTGCGGCCGCGACCAGGGGCGCGCCAAATGCCCGCCGCGGTCCTCCTGCCTGCGCCTGCGCGCGGGAGCGCGTGCCCGGCTGACGAGGCGGGGGGCAGGGCAGCCTGATTGACGCTGCCGCAAGGGCTCTCTTTGATTCTCCTCCCTCTCTCCCCCTTATCGCATGCGCTGCGCCAGGCATCCTGGCTGACGAGATGGGCCTGGGCAAGACGATCCAGGCGATCTCGCTGCTGGCCTACCTGGCCTGCGAGGAGGGCAGCTGGGGGCCGCACCTCATAGTGGTGCCCACCAGGTGGGGCAGGGCGGGGGCAGGGCTCAGGGCGCCGCGGGCGCTGCTCGGCCGCGGGCGCTGCTGCGCTCTTTTCGACGGCCCTGTGGGGACCTTGACACGCCGCTTCCCTGCAACCCCGCTCTCTCGCCAAGTCTCCGCCCCTGCTGTGCGACCGTGCCCCACAACCCCCAGTCCGTGTCCTCTGATGTGTCCCCAACCCACACCTGGAAGCCCTCGTCCCCTCACAACCCCCCAAAAACGGGCACCCCTCATAAACCCCCAACCCTGCCTATAAACCTCCCCTACCCCCACTCTCCCCCCCACCACCAAACCCCCAGCGTGATGCTCAACTGGGAGATGGAGTTCAAGAAGTGGTGCCCCGCCTTCAAGCTGCTCACCTACTACGGCAGCGCCAAGGAGCGCAAGGTCAAGCGCCAGGGCTGGTCCAAGCCCAACGCCTTCCACATCTGCATCACGTCCTACACGCTCGTGCTGCAGGACGCCAAGGTGGGGGCTGGTCGCTCGAGTGGGAGTGGGGAGTGTGGGGGGACGTCATTCGCAGCGGATGTTGTGCCTGCACATGCTGGGAGAATTGTAACACGCGTGGATCTCGTTTTGTATCGTTCAACACTCCCCCTTCTACCAATTGCACCCCTCCCAACCCCCCAACCC